ATATTGGAATAATAATTATAGTTTCGTTTCTTCTATTATTTTCATCATTTGGTACTTCTTCGTTTATCCTCATTGGTAGCTTCTTCATTTTATCCATCTTTGATTATGTTCCTTTTTCAAATTACCTACAATATAAAACAATAATAGTTAATAATATTTAATAAAAATATTAAGAGACTTTACAAACTATTTGATGGTTGAAAAAATATAAAATATGATATAATAGAACTAAATACCCAGTATATCGATGAAAACAAAGGTTAACGCATTTTAATGTAAAGTAAGAGAAAAAAAAACATGATCTTGATCTTAATACACTACAAAATTCTACTATATTCTTTGATATATATCAAATATATGATTCAAATTGTGAATCTTAACTGTACGAAAGGTAAAAAACTAACAATTGTCCAGATTTGCATCTTGAAACAATAATTAAACAGACATTAAACACTATTAATATAATATATAGAAAGGAACAAACAACTATTAATATTATATTAAACAGAATAATGCTTTATTTGTTTTTAGAGAAAGGAATTAATACAATATATAGAAAAGATTTTATATCCTTTAATAATAAAGATATGATACAAGAATAAACAAAAACACTCTTAGTAATACATATATACTTGGTGTACTACTGATGTTATTAAGATAGTGTTCCTTATTCTATAATTAAAAAACAATAACAATCAAATATTCCAATTATAATTAGAGTATCTCATGCTTAGCGTTGCTTTCATTTCATTCTTTGCCCAATTACTATCCATGAAAAGATATTCAGAAAAACCACATTGACCAACCAATAACCTGCACCATTTTAATTAAGCAAAACTAGACAACATTAAACACAATGTTGATATTATCAATTGAAGCAAAAAAAAAAAATTGAAGAGGTTCAAAAGCTTCCATGTCCAATCAGGCCTGAAGCAAACATAAATCATGTGATAAACCAAACCACCAAACAAAATCCCATCCCATTATATCAATAGATACAACCAATAAAGCCCCATTTCATAATTCATTCCAATTTAAATCTAAGAATATCACATTTATGTTCCGATTGGATATGGCAACATTCAACTGTTGAAACCAGTGACACAACAACACACCCGCCTGCACTAGTTCTATTAAAACAAAAGAAAGGCTAATTATATATATACACTATATACCCCACTATGTGACAGGGCAATAGATCAACAGTACAAAATTTTAAGAGATAGGTGAGACGTTCTGCCGTATAGAGAGAGTGCACCAATAAGCAAATGAAGAGACTTGAAGGACTTACCAAGTATAGGAGATCCTGTCAAGTATTTCTATGTGGGGTGAATATTTGCATCGCAGCCTTAACAAAGATAGGTTACACCAC